GTTTTTCTGGTTGGGTGTTTTTTGCTTCTTCGTATTTCAAATCTTTGACTTGATTCTTGCGATCCTCTGGTCTGCTGTTGGGAGTCTGTATAATATTCTTTATTTCAGTCCGTGTATGCTTAATTTCTAGTTGGTCCTTTATCACAACATCGAGGGTCTCACTAGATTTCTTAAGGATCTCAATACATTTATCGGCGGTTTCCATAAAATTCTTGAAAAATCTTAGAACCGTGGTTTTGAACTCTATATCCAGTCGTTTGCTGTCCTCCATTTCTGTCATTTGTGACCTGTTTCTTTGTCTTCGCATTTTGTCTGCTTCCCTGTGTTGGTAGAGTGGTTTTGTGTGCTAGGTGTCCTACAGGGCCCAGTGGCTCAGCCTCCCCAGTTACCTGAGGTGGACACTCTTGGTGCACCCCCTTGTGGGCTTTGTGCACAGTCTTGTTGTAGTTATGCCTTGATTGTTTTAGGTGTCACTGGGAGGAATTGACCTCCAGGCCAATTGGCAGTGAGAATCAGCTGTGTCTGCAGTGGGAGAACTTCTGTGCTGAAGACACCCTTATGGGGCAAGACTTGCTTCAGTGGGGCTTTGGTGCTCACTGAGTCTGCCCCCTGAGTGTGTCCCTTATGGATCTGAGGAGTTGTAATCTGGATGGTCCCACTCTGACCACTGGGTACACTGGCTCTTGGATCTCTAAGGAGGTGCTAATTTAGCCTCTGCCTGAGGCTACCCAGCAGGAGCCCAGCTGTGAAGCAATGCAAGCTGCTGTGGGGCCTTGGGCCTTCTTTTGGAAGTTCTGGGTTTCTCTGACCCAGCTGCAGTTTGTTAGGTAATTTTCAGATTGCAAAGGGCCAGGCCTTTCATATGCAAAAGATTCTGCACACAGGTTGGGTGGGGTGGGGTCTCGGGGAATCAACAGGGTGGAGCAAACAGCTATGGCTGATCCTCAGTCCTGTCCTAAGAGGTGCCACGTCTCAGTGTCCCGGTAATTGCTGTAAGCACCTCTGAGAGAAAGCCGCCCTCGAGTTCCGACCGATGCCAGACAGTCCAGTTTCTCCCCGTATGAGTCTGGGTCCCCAGAGACTGCCCGGAACTGGAGTTCAGAGCAGTCGGGAGCTTGAGACTCCCTCCCGATTGAAAAAGACAACCGTATCCTCAGTTGCCAGCCCTTTCAGCGTGCGGCACTCCGTACCTCTGCAGTTTACTTCCGCACCTCCTCTGAGTCTCAGTGTGTTTTTCTCTTTCCTTCTAGTTGTAGAATTTCCACTTAGCCAGCCTTCCTGTGGTTCTGGATGATGTCCATTTTGTCTTTTAGTTGTATTTTTGAAGTTGTTGTGGGAGGCAGCAATTTCCAGTGTTTACCTATGCCGCCGTCCTGGTTTCTCTCATGAGTACAATCTTTAACACGGAGATTGGCACATAACAATAATGTAGCTATTCATTATTAATGAAAGCTCCAAAGCCATTAGTGTTCAGGTGATATAAAAAAGCCTCAACACCCAAACTAAAACCCTACCCTTACCAGCACCAAAGTAACCAAGTATAGTTCCAGAGTCATTAAACCTAATTTCCCAAGACTTTGGCCTTAACACTATAAAACATATGCTCCAGGGGCTTCCATCCAGAAGTTACTACAATCCTAAACTGCAGTATTTCTTGTGCTATCTATAATAATAAAAGAATAATATGCTAATTAGACTGGACAGCCAAATGTCCTTATGGATGACCTTCTGGATGAAGCCGGAGCTACGAAGGCCGAGGCAAGCCACCGCAGCTGTGAGGGCCCAGCTCCTTGCACGAATTTTGTACATCGGGCCTCTAGTTTTGTATAAGTAGAAAGTCTGTTGTTGCTTTCTGGGGTGGGGGAAGTACCGAGGAGCTGTATTAGTACTTTTAGAATATGCCATATAGACCTTTTTCAGTATAACCCATGATTAGATGGTGAATCCAAGGTGTGGAAGATTCTGAAAACAAGGAGAGGAGTTGAGTCTTAGCACTGCAAAGCTGACACTGGAGCAAGGTAATGATAAAAAGATATGATGACCAAAGGATATGGCCTTAATAAGAAGAATGTGCAACAGAGGCTATTCAGGAGGCCACAGTTCTAATTTAATCTGAAAGTCCCAAGGCCCTCAACGAGAACAGCGGTGATGGGAAATAAAAAGTGGAAATGGACACTAAATTGCATTATGAAGACTAGAGAATCAATGAAGTTGGTGACTGGATATAGGAAATGAAAGAAAAATAAGTGCTCAACAAGTTTGGCAGAGTAAGGAATGGTGGAGGCAATGCTAGTCAGGGGAACCTTTTTTTGTAGGAGGCCTGAGTTCATTTTAGATTTCCCAAGCTTAAAGTGATGAGGGGATTCTTTCCAGTGGAAAAGGTCCAAGGGTAGCTGCTAATATGGGACTGAAACTCATAAATGACAAAAAGATGAGGCTGAGATCACATAGAGGTAAACACTGAAGCCACGATATAAAAAACAAATTTTAAAAGTTTTCAAGGAAGTATAGAGAAAGAAGAATAGAAGTCCAAGGCCCAACTCTTGGAAACTGCCATATGTCTGTTTTAGAATGAAAAAGAACAGACCCAAAAAGGGGAAGAAAAATAAGACTGATAACTATTTGGACAGCCAGGCTAGTACCACGCAACAGAAGCCAAGGGAAGAGGTTTTCTCTCAGCAAAGGTTTCTATGTGGTATCATCTGGAGCAGAATGCTGATGTCAATAACAAAGCACAATGCAGTAGAAGCTACACAAGTGAGTTGAGAATTACTCTGGTGGCCTCTGTAGAGCCTAAATCTTTCACCAGCTGGGCTAAAGTTCACTCAGCAAGATCTATGTAATGATTGATGGTAAGTGTTCATGAACACTGTTGCCAGGGAGCAAGCTGGTAGGACAGATACAACACTTCTCTGGGATACAGGGACTTACCTAGCTCATCCCAGAGCTGCCTGCACTTATCTGTCATGCTTGTTCCTTGCTGCCTCCAGAGTGTGAGTCGTGGGTCAGCCATAAACTGCTCAGTTATTAGTGTCAGCATCCTGGCTCCATTGGAATCTCTCATCCGCAGCATTTCTCGAACCTGACACATAAGGAAGGGCAAGGGGTTGGTGACTACACATCATAAAAAAGTAGGATAAGAAGAAAGGAGAGGAGCGGGAGGAGAAGGTGAAGTGTCATCTCCAAAGAGCCTTTAGAATTCCTCTTGTTCTGTAAGCAAGTTTTCTGCATCTATCAAGAAAGCCTGCTGTGCACAACTGAGATACCCCTTCATATCCACTAGTATGGCTAGAATAAAAAAGTCAGATAACAACAAGTATTGATGAGGATGTAGAGAAATTGGAACCCTCATACACCGTTGGTGGGAATGTAAAATGATGCAGCCACTTTGGAATCAGTCTATTTAGTTCCTCAAACAAGTAAACAGAGTTATCATATGACCTGTCAATTCCATATCCTAGAGAGAAATGAAAAGGTATGTCCACAGAGAAACTTGTACAAGAATATTTCTAGCAGCATTATTTATAACTAGTGGCCCGGTGCATGAAATTCATGCACATTAAAAGGGAATTAATTAGAGTAAATATTTTAATATTGCTATTTGCCCTTTGTCGATAACAGAAGTGTCAGAGAAAGAAAATTAGTAAAATGTATATGAAAATCTTCCTCCTGTCAGAGTCTAGGGCACGCCATGGAACCCAGAGTCAAATTCCCGCTCACCTGCGTGCACCTTGAAATTGCGTGAGACCCAGACCCGGCCAGCCCCACCCCCGTCAATCCCTGCCAGGCGGGGGGCGCAGCCTCAGGGCCCTTGTCAAGCCCCACCAGGTGGGGGGGCGCAGCCTCAGGTCCCCTGTCAAGTCCCGCTGAGCGGGGGGTGCAGTCTCAGGTCCCCTGGCCTGGTGCTGGGCAGGGGGCTCAGCCTCAGGTCCCCCAGCACACCCTCAGGTCCCCTGGCCCGGCGCTGAGGCAGGGGGCGCGGCCTAAGGTCCCCCAGCCCGGTGCTGGGACGTAGGGCACGGCATGAGGTCCCCTGTCAAGCTCCGCCGGGCGGGGGGTGCAGCCCCAGGTCCCCCACTCTGGCCTGGCGCCATGCAGCCTCAGGTCCCTGCTGATTGCTCGTTACTGCTCGTTACGGGAACCCCGCCTCCGCTGTGGGCGCAGACATCTTATGATGGTGTGATGAAGTGAGGGTCAATTTGCATATCACCCCTTTATTATATAGGATAGCCAAATGGTGGAAACAATCCAATGGCCATCAATATGCAAATGGATAAACAAATGTAGGGTATCCATATGATGGAATATTATTTGGCCATAAAAAGGAACAAAATACTGATAGATGCTATTAATGCAGATGACCATTGAAAATATTATGCTAAGTGAAGGAAGCCAGTCACAAAAGACTACATACTGTATGATTCCATTCCTACTAAGGTCCAGAATAGGGACATCTATACATAAAGGGTAGATTAGTGGTTATTTAGGGCTGGGGGAGGAGACATGCAGGATAGGGAATGATAACTAAAGGGTATGGGGTTTCTTATTAAGATGATAAAAATGTTCTAAAGTTGATTGTGGTGATGGGTGCACATATTTGAATATTCTAAAAATCACTGAATTTTACACTTTAAAATGGGTGAATTTTTAAAATATATTTTTAGTGATTTTAGAGAGGAAGGGGGAGGAATGGAGAGACAGAAACATTGATCAGGTGCTTCCTACATGTCCCCTACTGGGGATCGAGTTCACAACCCAGGCTTATGCCCTGACCGGGAATTGAACCTTGATTTCCTAATTCATGGAGTTGATGCTCAACTACTGAGCCACACCGGCTGGACTAAAATTGGTGAATATTATGGCATGTGAATTATATGTCACTAAATGTGTTTTTAAAAACAGGGCAAGAACCCCCTGGCAATGGGCAAGGAGACACCTGATTGGTGGTGTTGCTCTTATATCAATCAGGGGCAAAGCAGATGTACAGTCCTTAGTTCATCCTAGCTTGATGCCTGTGTTGGTGGCCAGAGCTGTTTCATGCCTGAGGCACATAAATAAATAAAAATAAAAACAGGGCAAGAAAGCCTGCTGTGAGAGCCCCCACCACCAAAAATCTCTTCAAGGCCTCATCAGACAGTCTTGGATTCAAATCTTCATTACTAAAACCCCCAGCAATGCTAACTCATTTAGAGAGTGGAGCAGAAGGAAGAGACTACCAGGGTGAGGTAGTAGGGTTCCCTGGATGCAACCTGCTTAGGTCTGCTCTGATGAATCTCTCCTAATAGTTTTCAAGCATTTGATAGAGCTAAAACAAGTGAGCTGGCTCCAAGCATGAAGCCAAAAGTGTGGTAAGAGAAGGTGGGGGTGGGTGGGTGGGCAGAGATTAACCAAAGAACTTGTATGCTTATATGCATAATCCATGGACACAGACAGTAGTGTGGTGAAGGCCTGGGGTAGGGGGTGGGGGCAGGCTAGAAAGGGTGGATATGGAAAAAAGGGGACATCTCTAAAACTTTCAACAATAAAGTTTTCTTTTTTTTTTCTTTTTTTTTTTCCGATGTAAAAGCATAAGAGTCTTTATTCGAGCTAGCTCGGCTCCCCCACCTTGCCGACACAGCGACAGGAAGCAGAGAGAGAGAGAACTCTGTGTGGAGAGGGGTTTTATAGGGGGTTGGAGTAAGGGGAGGAGAAAGGGCTGTGGCCTTGCCGATTGGCCAGGCGCAAGTCGGTGTCTTGTTCCTGGGTGTGGCTAGCAGAGGCTTAGACTTCCGGGAAGAAGCTCCTTGCCAAGCACATGGCCAAGGTAAGATGGAGGGCGTAGCACTTACCCTGGGGCAAGATGGAGGGCGTAGCCCTTACCCTGGGGCAAGATGGAGGGCGTAGCCCTTACCCTGGGGCAAGATGGAGGGCGTAGCCCTTACCCTGGGGCAAGATGGAGGGCGTAGCCCTTACCCTGGGGCAAGATGGAGGGCGTAGCCCTTACCCTGGGGCAAGATGGAGGGCGTAGCCCTTACCCTGGGGCAAGATGGAGGGCGTAGCCCTTACCCTGGGGCAAGATGGAGGGCGTAGCCCT